GATGACGTTGACGCAAAATTTACTAAGTGAAGACCAATTTGACACACTTTTAAAAGAAAAGACTTAATTGAGAAAAATAAGCAAATCTAAGAACAAAAAAGGCTATTAAATCATAAAATTAATAGTGAAAAATAGTATAAACAAATTAGTTTAAAAATAAAATAAAAAGATAAAAAAGTTACATAAATACTATGCATATATAGTAGGAAAATAAATATAAATAAACAAAATTAGAAAATAAAAAAATGGAAAAACAATAAAATAATTTGATGTGGCAGCAAAATAAATATAAATAAAAAGAAAATTTAAAATGTCAATAAACTAAAAAATCAACTTTTGAGACACTTATCAATAAAATAAACATGGCTAATAAAATAATTTTTCTAATATATTCTTTTCGTATATTATAATAGATAATAGAAAAAAAAATAACTTTTATGCACATGTAACAAAATAAATATAAATTAAAAATATCAATTGTCTAAAAAATTAATTTAACACTTTTCAACATGGATAATAGAATAATTTTCTTAGTATATTATTTTCTTATATTATAATAGATATAATAGATAGATATAAAATATTAACAGATTTGATGAACCTATTAATCCTTTTATATATATATATACAGTATTCTATAACATGAAAGATAACTTTACTAAATACTTCATAACTCATATTGACTTAAATATAAAAAAAAATTATAGGTAAATATTTCCTAATTTCGTTAGAAACTCGATCCTTTATTAAATAGCAACTTGTCTTTCGTAGCATCAAGGTTCAAAATCATCACAATCTTAAAGCATATTCTAAACTTAGATGCCTTAGAGAAAAAAACTGAAAAACGATGACATAGATACATTTAGAAACTAAGAAAAACGATATCAGTAGTTAATATTATATGTTGAACTCTTAGTGTATAGTCCTTTCGTAAAAAACAAAAGCTATTAATTTCCTACTTTTTTTAGAGCTGTAAACTTTCAACATAAACTAAGTCCTGGAAATTGGGTACTTTTGAAAGAAAAATAAAATATAGAGAGGGAACAATGAAGGAGGTGTGTTCAGCAATTACCCAAATGACTTTAGTCAAAATCATGATAAAGTCCAATTCTTGGTGCAAGTGTTTAGAGGTCCGTAATAAGTGTGTTGCTTCCACCATTTGAAGATGCAATTTTATACAAATAAATGTAAGACTTTTAACTATCACCTACTCACATCATTCAATAAACCATCGCTTTAATATAGCAATGGTTGTTCAACCCTACCTTCACCAATCTTAGGCCAACACAAAAGCAAAATCCAACGTCTTGGTCCTTGATTTTGACATGCAAGAACTTACAACCAATGAACTACCCACAACAACTCAAGGATACGGCCCTATCAAATGCTGAAACACGAAATTCTTTAAACAACACTATGTCATTCAAATTTGATTCTTCATTCCATGAAAAAGGGTAAATCTCTTAAGTAAATATTAAAATCTTACGAAATTTATGGATGACACTTGATTCATAAAAAAAAAAACACCCCTCGTAAAAATTTAAAGCCAAATCATAATTGAAATCACATAAAATAAAACATGCCCCTTAATTGTGTTAAAAGGTAAGCATGATAGCAATATATCTCGAAAGCAACAGTGATGTTTATTATTTGATTGAAGATGTGATAGATAATAGATATCAAGAGTAAAAGTAAAAATTCACCGATTAATAACCATAATCAAATTATTAAATGAGTAAAATTATATTAAACGAAAAAGTAAACGTATACTGAAGAGTATACTAAAATAATATATTAAAAATAATTTTAAAGATATTGAGGTTATTATATAAAAATTAAAACTGAGCATGGAATGTGAATAGTGTGGTAATGCATGGATGACATGAACATCAACCGCATCCATGTATGTTGGTTACGCTGTATGTATCCGTGTGATGTTTTGTCGATAGTGTACATGGAACTTCATTGCCTCTGCAACCAACACACACCATAGCTCAGCATTGTCGGAAGGGTCGAGAAAAGACAATTTTTAAAAAATATATATACACAAAAATATGACATGAAATAGAAAAAAAAAAGTTGTGAGAGAAATAAATATGAAAAATATGTAAAATTTAGTAAGTTGGTTCTCATTAAATTAGTCTCTGTCAATATGCTTGTTTTCACTTTAAAAGTACAGATTGTTAAAAACATCATGGTCATAGTATTATACTATATGCTTGAGAAAATACGTATTATTTAAGAGTAAAAGTACTTATAAATTATGGAATTGATCCGAAATCTTAAAGAGTGTAGGGTTTTATAACGGAATGGATATGAAAAGAAAGTTAGAATTAAATAATGAATGGTTAAAAGCAAAAAGGAAAGAGGTTAATAAATAAATATAATAAGATGATAAGATGAGAAAGGTAAAGAAAGTAGGAATGAGAAAAGGTGAAAGGTGTTGCTTAGCAGACATATGATAAAGAGGGTTGGTTTGTTGTCATCTTCTCCTCCCTCAATCTTTCTTATACTTTTCCAATATCACATATCCCTCTCATTAATTCTGCAATTTGATTTTAGACAATATTTTTGTTTTCTTCTACAAAAGAATTCAAAAAAATACATATTAAGTGTTGGAGTTTTTTAAAACCACTTCAAAGTCCCCCCTGAATTTTATCTCTTAATTATAAAGACTTTTTTTTTATTTATTTATATATGCACTTGTTTCATGTGATTGTTCTAACGTTTTTCAATTATTATTATTATATTTATCTAATTCAAAATATATTCAAATACGAGGTTTGTATAAAATATTAATATCTTAAAATCAGAAAAAAAAATCATATTTATGATAATATAAATAAAATATAAGGAATAATAAACTAAATCAGTTATTATATATGTTAAATATGTTATTATATTTTGAGTTTATCTTATTCATCATTATATTAAAAAAAATCTATAAATACATATTATCACATAAAGTATATTAACTTAATAATTATTTTTCACTCCTATATTCACAAAATATTTTTTACTGGTTTGAGTGTCCAAGCTATTGTACTCCTTGTTACAGATGAAGCTAGTTCACCTCAAATGACTCATTTTCGGTAAGAACATTTATTATTCTTTACTCTTTGAACATTAAGTTTTCTTTTATCATAACAATTTTGAAGTAACATGGTGTAAAATATTTATAGTATGAGTTAAAAATATAATTATCATAGTTTTTACCATATTAATCATAGTTAATTTTCATATTTGTACCTAATTAACCCACATTTATGATAATATTATATTTTTAACTATCTAAAATAGGCTAAAAAAACCAAAGATCCAAGTATGAAATTCACGTAATATAATATATCTTATTCTTAGGTTAAAAAAGGCTGTAAACATATGTCACCACATTTTATTAAAAATACTCACCCAAAATCTTTTGCTAATTTGAGAATCCAAAAATATTTGTTTATAGACTTCTTCTCGTATTGATTTGAAATTATGCGATATCGTATCATTTGTCATCATTTAAATATTTTTAAATCTATAAAATAAAAAACTATAATAACAAAAGTGTATCATATGACCAGACGATCATCACAGTCCATAAACTCCACATGACCAGACGGCCAACAAAGAAGACAAAGTTGTCGGTCGGGCCGGCCGGCCTCCTAAGCCCAAATGATTAATGTTAAGGAGATTAAAGTAAATCACGTTTAAGGGTATTGGACGGAGATTGAGCCGAGATTAAAATATTGCTAATCATAAGCCCATGCCCGAAAACTATAAATATAAGTCAAAGGTAAATAGAGGCAATTACTATGCATTTATTACTGTCATTGTCATATTAGATTACCGGACAGTTCAATTACTGACTTTGGCATCGGAACATCTTTAACAGGTACACCCCGACCGGGCGAACAAACAAGAGACCCACGAACCAAGACCGAATGGCGAGGAAGGACAAATTGTGAAGGTACTTAGTAACTCAGTCCTATAACCGAAACAAAAAGTCTTAATTTTTCTAAAAAAACATTGCTTTTTTACATCTTCAAATTTTACCTGATTTTTTATATCAAAAGCCTTTTTTCTTTTTTAAATTCCAATTGATTATACCATAAGAGATTGATATGATGTCAACAAAAAATATATAAGTTAGCTTTCTTTTATCTTATAAGAGTAATCATGTTAAATAAAAAAACAGAAGAAAATAACACAATATTATGAAAAGGAAAGATACACATGTTTTATGGTATAATAATAACACTGCAAAAATAATTTTTAGAAACTAAATATATTTAAAATTAAATAATCTTAACATTTTCTATTATATATCTATAACATAAAAATAATCATACCTTGACAATGAATTAATATTCCCATTTTAGCCGAGATTATGCTGAAAATTATATATTTAATAAATTAATTGTAAATTATTTTCTCAAAGAATACAGTGGTGAAAAAAATAGTGGACATAAAAGTACATTTTATATAATTATTTATTTTTTCTTCTTTTTCATTCATTCATCCAAACAAATGGAGAAAACATAATTTAATCGTTAATCCAAGTATAAGTATTTTAATTAAAAAAATATGTACATTTTTGTTATCTTGATAAGTTATTACTTTTGAGGTGTAAGTGATCCAATGGAAGATGAAGAGAAGTATTAACTAACAACTGAGTTTTGTAAGTCTGACACTCACTCAACCTTTTCTCGGATCTCACACAGCATTGTCAGAAAAGTGTCATGTTTTGATGAAAGTCACGCGTCATTTCAAAATTAACCTGACTCTTTATTGTATATTTCTTTATCAATTTAGAATTTAATTAAAAGTATTATGTTTTCTTATGATTAGACATCAATGTAACTTTGGCGCAAACATAATTATGTTTTATTGAAATTGACATTTTGATTACCGCAACCTATACCCAAACAAGCTTTTTATCTATGTGATGAAGAATATATGCCATCTATTGTTAGTGGTGGCAATACCACTTTTAGCTTTTAAAATAAAGAAGCATTTGTTTGAAAAAGTAATAATAAAAGAAAAAGACACTTAGAAGAACAACCTTTTGGAAGCAAATTTATATGAATGTGTATCAGTGTGAGTGCATGATGATGATGTAAGAGAGCATATTACATGACACATTACCATGATGTTCCATAACCGACCCCTCAAGGTCCCAACACAAAATTGAGTCATTCTTCTCACTCTTCTTCTGTGTAAATGTACAATGTTCTCCTTTATATGCAATGTGAACAGCAAATCATGATCTCAGACAAGGTCTGAGGATTCTGCACCATTAAAAAACCTACACAATCATAAAAGAAGGAGAAGGAGAATTCTGTTGAATGATGGGAATCTATCCTTCTTCTGCTGATGGTGTACGATCAAAATCTTCAATTCTTTTAGTTTTTCTTCTGAATCTTCATCATAGTTATTTCTTTCTATGATCATGGGTCTTCGACATCAACATCCTTTCATGCGAAGTTTTAACCCTTATGTTTTTATTTTTAGGATATTTTTTTTCTTATAATTTTGTTTCATTGCAGGGAGTTGTTCAGGAATAAGAAACAGAACAGGTTGCAGTTATAGAAAATCATAACTTATGCAAAGGGGAATAGCAGAATCTGATAAGGAAATAAAAGGAAAAAAAGTATTACAGTTTGATCTTTAAACTGAGGTATGAAATGTTTGAACTTTTTTCTGTTCTGTTCTCCGTAATGGTTGGAATTTTATTTATACCTCTCTCATGTTCTATTTTTAAAGATAACTACAATATATGCTCATTACATTATCACTCAAGCTTCTTTCCAAGAGTAAAAAAAGTGTTCCAATTTGATCCATAGTGAGATATGGTATGATCTAAATTTATCATTTGAAGAAATGCATTTTATGTGAATTATGACTATGCAAAAAGAGTACTGTTACACCAGTTTCATTACTATAAAATTAAAGTACTTGTATCTTAGGAATACATTTTAACAACTTTTTCAGTTTGTTAATCCCAAAAAATATATGGAAAATGATATTACTTGTTCTGTCTTTTCTCCAGAAATTATTTTACAGTGCAATACAGGGCAATACAGTTCAATTTATTTACAGAAAAAATGCATAAAATAAAATAAGATAGCAAAGTAATTAATATTAAATTTTCAGTGACCTTCAATCTAGAGGGTTTTTGGACAGAAAAGATTATAAAAACAGAAATATTACAAAAGCTGTAACTGACAGTGAGGTTGTAGTATGTAGAATAAGGTTATCACTGTAATATGTTCCATATTTCTGGTTTTCCCCTCTCTTAACATAGACTTGAGATCAACATTCCAGCCTCTCATTAACATATCATGTATGGAGAAAATTAGAGAAAGGTACTCATGTGCTGTAGGAAGAGTGTGCATAGAATCTGAGTAGCAAGCTTAAGTTGTTACAGTTAGAGATAAGGTTCTCTTCATGATATATCCATCTGCAATTTACTTTTGTTCTGCTGCATGTCCCACACCAGTTTTACTTGTAGTGCAGTATTGGACAATCTTTACTGAGGATTCCCAAGTCCCCAATAGTTTTTGGAGAAGCAACTTTGTCCCAAATAGATTTTTCAATTTGGACATGTACTCATTGGGGATCCATGCTGCCTGCATATAATAAGTAGGAATGACAATTTAAAACAGAACGAGTTGGAGCTAGCCTTCCAGTTCTGTTTGAGAATTCATTTTTCCATGAATCAAGTCTAGATTGCAATTTTTCAATAATAAAATGAACTGAGAATTAGTAACCTTCCTTTTAAAGATAGGAAATCTGAGAAACTTAACTAGAGAACTAGCAGTCTCTATGGATGATATAGTCTCCCATCTATTTTTTGTTCTTCAAAGGATATACATAGTTTATCTAGCTCTAGACCCAGTAACACTGATCTTTAAATTGGATTCTTTGCTAAATATATCAGAAGTAGCAGCAATGAGTTTAGTTTGTTTGATAGTTGTTTTTGAGAAAAGAAAAACATCATCCTCAAATGATAAATTTGGATAGGGATCCAAAGCTTCTTTTCTAAGGAATCATTGTGGTCAGAGAAAACTTTTGCATCAAAGAACAAAAAGATAAGGAGAAAGGGGGTTCCCTTGTTTAAGACCCCTAGAAGTTTTAAAATTCTCTAATCTGTTGCCATTCTAAATAATGCACAAAGAAGAGAGGAAATCACACAGTTAGTTGATATTAAAACTATGGAAGCCAAAACTTGTAAGACATCAAAATAAAGCAAAGCCACTTTATCAAACGCCTTCTCAAGGTCAGTTTTATAGACCACTTTTTTTCCTTTGTTTTGTACTTGCTGTGAGTATTCTCTTGCAAAATAATAGTAGTATCCGACATACCAGTATTAATTGCCCAACAACAGAATTTATACGAAGTGAATAAAATAATATATAACCCTTATTTAATGTCTAAAAATCTGTATATGAAGCATATCAGTTATTAACAAAGAATATCACAGACCGAAAAAGACCAACGAAAGCAACAAATTAAAATTCAGTTTCATGAGTCATCCAATCAACACTCTTTCTGGACTTTGAAACTGCATACTACAAGCCTCTGCCTCAAGAATTTCAATCTAACTTAGGAAGCACCTTTGTTATGATATCTGAGTTTTGTTCTTCTGTTTTGCAGTAGATTAATTTCACTTCTCTTTCTCTTTGTGTCTCCCTATGAAAATAAAACTTTATCTTGAAATGTTTGGCTTTGCCATGAAAGCTGGGTTACTAGCAATTGAAATTGAAGTCTGATTGCCTACAAATATAGTTGTGCTATCCTGTTGTTCCATATGCAAATCTGCCTCGAGCTTTGCAATCCAAAGAGCTTGATTAACTGCAGCAGTTGCGACCACATATCCTATTTCTGTTGTAGATTGAGCTATGAACTATTGCTTCTTTGAATGCCATGAAAAGATTCCAGAACCAAAGCTAAAATGATATCATCAACACATCCAGCCCAATCACAATCAGAGTAGCCAAGAAGACTAAAATTTTCAACATATTTCAAAATCAATTGTACCCTTAACATATATAAGAACTCTCTTTGCTGCCCGGAAATGAATTTTACTAGCACAACTCATGTATTTTGATAACAAGTTTACTACATGAAAGATGCCATGTCTTGTTGCAATTGAGTACATTAGGCAGCTTATAAGACTCCTATATAGTTTTTCGTGTACTTTTTCAGCTCCATCTTCCTTGTAAAGATTCTCCTTCTGATTCATTGGAGTTGCAGCTAGTTTGCTCTCTTCCATGTTAAACTTCTTGAGAACTTATTTGCATTTTTTCTTTATAAAGAAATATTTCATTCTGATTTTGATATATACCAATAAAGAATGTCGTTCTTCTAAGGTTGGTCCTTTCGAAAACTTCTCTCGTTTCTTTCTTGAAATTTTCAATCTGCTTACTACTACTCCTTAAAAGTAAGAGATCATCAACAAGTAGGGATATGACAAGTATTTCACCATCAATATTCTTAACATACAAAGACCATAGTTTGGCTTTCTCTGGATAAATGGTTTTGATCTTTAAATCTTTTAGCACATAAAAATAATTATTGGTTTAAACAAATTCGTCAGGTTTAAGGACTCTCCTTGCTTAATAAGAAACTTGGCGCATCCACTTGTTGGATTATTATTATTTTTCTGGGGAAATGAGGATTTCATAGATAAAAAGTAAGCATACACCCTTTCATGACTTAAAGTATCCTTAGTAGAAATGTTATGGAATTGTTTCATACAGTGACTTTGATCAATTGCAAATTCTATGATTTGTTATGATTCATATTTAAATTCTTGCTAATGAGTTATTTCAAATGTAGCAGGGAGAAGATGTGTCAGACTCGCTTGGAACTTTGTCATGAGTCTTCTCTTAAAGCATCCAGAGCATCTTTTATCCCTGAAAGACTTGGTGATATTGTTATACTCTTAATAAGGTTTGGCATAGTCGTGTGCCTTGTTGCCTCCATATCACTCGCTCTCCACTCAGCATTTGCTAAACCAGACCGATGGTTCCCCTTACCGGAGCATATACATACTGTACAGAATACTTCTGTCATTGACAGCGCACCAACAAACATCTCACATATTCTGTTTGGCATCGGTGGGTCATCTAACACTTGGCATGACCGCAGCAACTACAGCAAACTATGGTGGAATCCAAACACCACAAGAGGTTTTGTTTGGCTAGACAAGAAGCCTAAGATTCTGCGTGATGACATGCTAGTGCCATATCAAATCTCAAAGGGCTGGAAGCGGTTCCAGTATGTGCATTCAGCATCTGCAGTTCGGATTTCCCGGATAGTTCATGAGAGCTTTAAACTTGGTTTGCCAAATGTTAGGTGGTTTGTAATGGGAGATGATGATACTGTGTTCTTTACTGAGAACTTAGTTACTGTGTTGAGAAAATATGATCACAACCAGATGTATTATATTGGTGGGAGTTCTGAGAGTGTTGAGCAAGATTTGATGCATTCTTATGACATGGCATTTGGTGGTGGTGGATTTGCAATCAGTTATGCATTAGCTGCTCAACTAGCCAAAATAATGGATGGTTGTCTAAGCAGATACTACTACTTTTACGGTTCTGATCAAAGGGTTTGGGCCTGTGTGAATGAAATTGGGGTGCCTCTTACCAGAGAAGGTGGATTCCACCAGGTATATTCTTTTTCCACTTGTTACATTTGTGTACTTTTTGGTACAACCTATGCACTGATACACATATTTGTATGAAGAAAGAATCATGTTCATGTTTCAGATGTTGTTAGTTCAGCTTAAATGCAAATCTTTGGACTTATCCATGCATAATAAATTTTGTTTATTATGGTCTTTTTCTCTTACAGCTTGACATAAGAGGGGATCCATATGGTCTTCTAGCTGCACACCCTTTGGTACCACTTGTATCACTCCATCACCTTGACCAATTGAACTCCTTGTTTCCCAACCAAACTCAATTTCACTCAATGGAAAAGCTCATCAGTGCATACCACGTTGACCCTGCCCGGACAGTGCAGCAAAGTTTTTGCTATGACCATAAGCATAGATGGTCAATATCCATCTCATGGGGTTACACCATACAAATATATCCATTTTTGTTGATGGCATCAGACTTGCAGATGCCATTGCAGACATTTAGGACTTGGCGAAGTTGGAAAGACGGTCCCTTCACATTCAATACGAGACCAATGAGCTCTGACCCGTGTCAGAAGCCAGCTGTGTTTTTCCTGGATGAGGTTACAGAAGTGGGAAAAAGTGGAAGTGTCACTATCTACAAGAGACACGAAGGCAGTGAAGGGAACTGCACGAGAGAAGGCATTAGTAACGTGGAATTGGAAAGCATTACAGTTTCTGCCTTGAAGCTGGACCCAGAATATTGGAAAAGTGTACCTCTCTAACTCTGTTCGCTCAACACACAATTGAAACAAAGACATCTTTACATTTAGAACATCTTAGCTTGTCATGATTATCATATGCTTGAAGTGAATAGAATTGAATTCCATATATATTTGGAGTTCTAAAGTTGCTGTTAAATTAATCATTTGATTTGGCTGTACTTAACCAGGTACTGCGCAGGCATTGCTGCCAACCATTGGCGGGTGGAAGCATAAACAATGGTAGTATGCATATCAGGATTAGGAAGTGCAGACCTCAAGAAACCATTACTATTTAGGAATCAGATATTATATTTGCTCGGCATAGTGAGAGTAGATTACTACAGTACAGTGAGTCTTATAGGTGTTACCTCTAACATTTCCACCGTTGTACATATATAGTTGTCAAAATATTCATATAGTCTCAACTTTAAATAATAAATCTCTCGGAAAATTTTCTACTTGTTTGTATGGTCTCAAATATCTAGATATGTATTGTTTTCTCTTTGCTTTTTCATATTCTGGCTTCCGTTTTCAATCATGCAAGCACATGTTTCTTATGGACTACAGGAAGACGTTCCTTCATTATGCCTCTTCATTTGATGTGAATGTCTTTCACATTAGAAACCGCCACCGCCTCACCAGTGTTGGGTCTATCGAGAAGGAGGTTCCTTCATCCTTTGTCAGGAAAACTTTCGGTATAGGGATCATTATACCACTGTTGGGTCTATCGAGAAGCATATTCCCTGTGGGTTACACAAACACCAATAACATATGAGTCAACTATAAAAGGGATCGACACCACTTTTTAACCAAAACCTTAAGGCAATGGGTTAATGTCTTTTACCTTTATATAATAATCTACTTCCTCATTTAAATCCAATGTGAAACTTGGACTCAGAGTTGAATTACCAACAACCAGCAGTGGTAAAGATGATTCCTCTGTGTATTTTGATGTTGCTCAAGTTTCGATTTTACTTTGGTGAGCCTTTATAAGCAGAGAACTGAACTGCAGACAAAGCAAATGTTTGAATAATGTGCAGAGAATGAAAACTATGGCTCCTAGTCGTCCTGGATAAAACTAGACCTATCTCAGGTGTGCACTATTAAGAACTTAATATTGTGTAATGATGGAATGGTTATCAGTAACAGATGCTCTTTTTTCTCTAACTACATCTTGGATTTCATGGGACAGGTTCAGGATAAGTAAGCCCCGGTGAATGTCGTTTTCCTTGTTCGAAGAACGGTTTTAAGAGGGAGAAGATTTGGTAAGGTGTTGTTTATTCTCTTCTTTTATGACATGCATAGATTTGGTGACGTAACCTGAATAAGTCGTGTTTTGTGGCCAAATAATTTTTTTTCTTAATTGTTGTATTTCCTTCTCCGTTCGACTGTGCAGGCTGATTGTTTACCTTCCTACGCTGGATATTCAAATACTTGTTTTGCTTTGCAGTTTTTTCTACAACTGTCTCACGGATGACCGTTAGAAACTGCCAAAATATCAACTTTGGGATGCACTTCGAAACTAACAGTTTCTTTAACTTCCGAAAACTGTAAATTTGACAGCTAGAAATTACAATATTTTTTGTACTGTGTACTACATCATGGATTGATCCTTGTGATCACAGTTGTGAAAAAAAGAACTAATTTTTTAGATAAAAAAAAATTATGTAGTATTGTAGGAGGTCGCGTGTTTTGCACTTGGAGGATCTAGTTTTTTTGTCATTAGTGAATTATTTGGTTTGATTTATATTTAGTATTTATTTAACTGAGAAAAAGTCTAAGTTTTAAATAAGGTTGGCGTATATAAGTTAAAGTTATATTTTGCAAGCTTATTCATTAATAGTTTGAGTAATCAGAGCAGCTATGCATGCCCAAAGAGTGGTAGTTTATTTATTGATTTACTTGAATATTCTAATTTTGTTACTATTTTATATCTACCACTTATGCAACTTACTAACTCTATTTTTTAAGATCTATAATTTAAACTAATATAACCTTAAAAAATTCATCATCTTTATATCGAAAATTCCATCTTACCCTCATAAGTTATATTTATAGCTGCTACCTTTTTTTTGTTAAATATTAAACTGATGATATGAAGAAAAATAATTCCATGGATAATTAAGTCATAACCAAATTAAATGAAGTATAAACATTACACTGTAAATAAATCAACCTTAAATGAATTAAACTCGATGACTTTTCACAGCCAGAAACTTCCAATATTTGATTGGCCTAGAATCATTCAGACTTCTAGGCAGTTTTAAGAGGAAGAACCCGTAAGCAGCACCATGAAAAACTTCCGGACATGGGGATCTCAACCGAATGCTTACAGTAGATGCTACGAGTCGGAAATTCGTTTTTTTCACACGGCACATGTAACATTTGAACTGTGCGTAAAAATTTAAAAATGAAAATGAAGTGGTCAATTAGCACCATTCCAAATTATTTCGAACAGTTAACTTCTGAAATCACTCAAGCATATATAATATATATCTGTAACTCTGTTAGGAATAACACTGTCTTTGGTCCATTGTTTAACATCCAATTACATGGGAACTAGGAAGGAAAGATGCTAGTCTGTGTGCAAGCCTAAAGTCAAGGACCGATATTTTGGCTCAGGGAAGAAGGTGAATACCAAGATGTAAATACTAAATACAAAGGCGCAAAACATTAATATATCTGATTCCACGCATAAACGATTCAAGGTTTATCACACAGACAATCAGCCTGCAAAATCAGAACTATCTGATGTCATATCCATTATATGCATGCTGCAGTAAGAGCGAGTGGAGGTTTTGCATAAAAGTAAGGAAATTAGGCTTTACTATCCCCGTCGCAGCTCCATGGGTAGAAAGGGAAGCCATACAGTACCCCGCTGAAGGGTAGAAATCTATCTCAAGCTACAATATATTTCATCTAAATTACTGGAACAAGAAGCTTCCATGGGGAACGAGAAAGGGCAAATGGCAACTGACAGAGGTGACAGATTTCACTAGATCAACATGCACGTCCTTGCCTGAGAACTATACTTCCCCTCGTGTAATACTTCTGCATCTATCAGTTGCAAAACAAAATTAGGATGCGTGTGTGATCCACAAATTCTGCACAATCAGTATCTTGAGGTCAGGGAACGTGTGTATAATTATAAACAGCAAGACCGATTCAGGTAGCAGCAACATAGCAACTAATTAACCAACAACGCCAGCATCTTCCCGGCTTGCTGTTTCACTTGAAGGAACAGAACCCTTATCATCAGTGACCAAACCCCCTATTGGTTCACCCTGTTTGTGCGGCAAATGCTCAGAATCCTGCTCAGGGAATACCTCAAGCTGCAGTGACGGTGAAATGTTATTCACGTGTAGCCATGTTAGTTCCCACAGACTATCACCGCCCAAGGCACTCCTCTGCACTAGTATACCCCTCATCTTCATAACAAGCAAGGAGTTTTTAAGCAGCTCAGGTACCGTCTCTTGAAGCTTCTCACTTCTTTTCCCCCTAACCTTCACCTTCATATATTTTTCCATTCTGCTCAGTACACCCAACCATAGCTTACAGAAGGTTGTTAATTGTGATAATTCTGGGAGTAATTGAAGAAAAACTTTGAACAAGAGCTTCATTGCTAAGATAAGGGTGCCTTCCATATTGCGATAATCCTTTTGAGAGTGTCCCTGTGCAATCTCAAGCAGGTCATCAAGTACAGTGAAGATCACAAGATCAAAACATTGTAACCACATGCTATATGGTAGATAAATGTCATCAGCCCCAGTCAAGCACTTCTGCAGAGATAATAAAGCATGATTTCTAACCTCCTCTCTCTGGTCTAAACACACCTTCCTAAGACCTTGTACTAGTCTCAACCACATCTCTCCAATATCCTGAGATAACTTAGACACTTGTTCCTCCTCCATTGATTCCTTAGCCTCACTGGTCCACCGTGCCAAGCAATTGACAGACCCTGCCATGAGATCTAGTGCCCGCACAGAACGCTCTGCTTGTCCAACACGAGACTCGGCAAACTGCCTGGCAGTATCTACACAGAGAACATAATTAGCAGGAAGCAAGTGGGCACCGTCAGACATTATGAACAATAGTGCATCAAACCCAGCTTCAGATGCTTCTATGTGTCTAGCTGTGATGGAAAGTAGTGATGTAATTGTACGCCATCCTAGCTGAGATCTTATGTGAGAAGCATTTGCCTTTACAAGGCGACTGACTTCTTGAGTAATCTGCTCACAGTATGCATCGGCAACCCGGGCATCAAGCTTCAAGACAAGTTGCAATGACCTTAGAAGTTCATCAGCAATGTTCTCCTTGTAGGGAAGCAACCGCTGGCAAATTCGTAATAGTCCAAAAACAGCCTTCTCTACCAGGGCACAGGGCATTAGAGTTGACTGAACAATGTTGGATATGTGTTCATACACACCATGCCAAAGAATCCCAATTCTATCCCTGTTATTCAAAGTAATTGCAATCAGCAACTCCAGGCAGAAAACTGCTGTATCTTCATCCTCAGGTGTGCTGCTCCCTTTTTGAGGTCTCCCTGCAGCCCAAACGAGTGCTCTTGCTAGCTGCAATAAAGATTCAGCTTGCAGAAACTTACTCTCAGTGAATATGCTGTCAATATGACATTTCTGTATGGTTTGTAGGGTGCGTTGATGAGCAGCAAGTTGTTGTTCAGTAGGTTGTGATCTTGGTTCCTCAGTATCAAGAGATAAGAGTTGACTAAACCTACCCATCAATCCTGAGGATCTCCTTGGAGTGCCAATAGATTGCATATGAGCTGAGGATAAAGAATTCATAATAGGTTTACCATGAACAGTTTCAGCAGAAAGCTCTGATTCATCAGCTGCATCACTGGCAACACGTGCAGGAAGAAGACCAAGCTTGTGCAGTCTTAAGATGCAATCAAGAATATTTCTCCAACCTGTGCGGATGTAATCACCATATCTGTTTGCTATAGTGAAAACTGTCACAGTTGCCATTCTAGCTTTCATGTCATCTCCAAAGGCTAGGACTGGTTCCTCAACTGATGACGGGTTTAAAAGTGTAGTGAACTTACAAAGAGACACTACCAAATCATCAAGAACATCTTCAAGATGATGGCAAGCTGAAATTTTAGCAATAGCCAAAAATCCATCCATACATGTTTGGTATACCTCCTCCTGTTCAGCATGATCAAATACCACAGAGATGGCAGCAATTGTTGGGCCTGACATTATGGCAAACATATCATGATCAAGGTAGGCCTTAGAATCAGATACAATAAATGGAGCAGTTTTTTTGGACTTATGCATTAGGTCAATCCATCGACTTGGTGTCATTTCAGGAAAACCAACACCTTGTTCAGGGGTTGTGCGAATCTCATTCTTACAAATTGAATGGTAAATCTCTGACAGCATTTCTCGAGGCAGATCGTTGCCACCATTTATAAGCCTATTATTCCGAATAAAATCCTCTTCTGTCATCTTCTTTTTAACTTGAACATTGTGTTGATCTGTATTAAGCATTATCATTGAGTATGACAAAACAAGAGCAGCATCCTTGTTAGCAAGGATATGTGGTGATTGTTCATAATATCTCTCAGAGAAAGCTTCAAGCACCCTATGTATTTTTTGTGATTCTCCCGGCAATCTGAATGTCTCCAAGAATAGACGCAGAGCAGTGTCTAAGTTCATGTCTTGGAAATCAAACGTTCCAGCAAATTCATGAAGCACCTGAACACAGAATTCATCATGATTTCCAAGGAAATCACCAACAAGATTCTTATCCAACCCAGCAGTGTATCTGAAAAAGCAGGCAACACTTTGAGGATCAAGTTTGTCAGGCAAAAGATGTGTTCCTTGGAGAAACTCCAGACCTTTCTTAGGATCACGATTAAAGTGGTCAGCACCAATCATCAATCTTCTCTTTATGTACTTTCTGCGGCGGACAAAAGGCACCCAGTGATTTGGATCGTTATAATTCTCACATTTAACCATCCAGAATGGAGTATACTCTTCAAGATTCACTGGAGAATATTCAGAGCTTACAGATCCATTGGCTATCCTTTCAGCCATTCCCTGTATAACAGCAATAAGACCATCCAAAGCAAGAATATGCATGGCAGACAATGGACAATTCACAGGAAATGCACTTTTAGACAACAAATTAGCAAGGTCTTCAAAGACATTACTGCAAGTTATGTCACAGTCAAAGTTAGCATACATATCTACCATAAATGTCTTTTGCCTGCAAAAGTCAACAAGAGCCTCCATGGCTACCTCTTGCTGCTGGTATGAAGCTCCATATCTGCTTTGTGCAAGTCTTAAAATGACACAAGAAAAAAATGCTTCTAGCTGTAATTTGAGCTCTGTACGAAGATGATGATACAGATTGAGAACAATGCTACAAACCATTGAAAGTATAAGGGGGCTCATTGACAAACCAAATTGCATCAGATTATGGAACAATTCATCCTGAATTAAGCTCAGCAACCTTGGGTGACGACAAATAGAAGGTCCTCCAAGTTCTATTGCTGAATTAATAAGAGTTAAGGCAAAGAGAGGCACATCTTCATCAAATGCTAGTGTGTTTGATCTAGGACCCATACCCGTATGCTCAACAACATTCAGCAAAGAACACAAAAAGTGAAATATTTCCACCATGCAAGGAACACCATACGGTTCAGTCATCAGATGCATGTCATATGGTACACCATCCTTGCAACTAATAGTTATTGCTGTGTTTTCATCCATCACAGTTGCT